GACAGGACCAGGTCCGCAAAGCTATACTTGGCACCTTGCAGGTGTCGAGTCTCCCCAAGCAACTGCTCTAAGGAACGGCCCCAAATAATTTGTAGGAGATCCGGATGCCCCAAAGGGTGGAACATGGAACATGCTGGATGGGTCCAAGTTAGACTTGATAGATGCCAACACCACTCAACTAGCATAAGAGGTCATGAGTCATAAGATCTTTTGCAAAACAATCTGTTCAGGTTGGGATCAGTGACAAAGCCCAGAGTTGAGCTCGTCTCCTGTTTCACCAGCTCGGTACGGTGACGAATTCAATGGGACCCACTGAGGTGGAGCCGTGATGCGCTGCGTCGCTATCTCGCTCGCGATGCGACGCGTCGCTCTCTCGCCGGTGGCCTGGTTGAATCCAAACGCTCAGCGCGTTGAAGTACCTCAGAGATCTCTGCGAGATGTCTCAGAGATGTCCATGAAGCCCATCCAGGAGTCTCAGGGTCTGGATGAGGAGATGAATCCACCAATCGAACTACAGTAATTGTTTGAAAAAAAAACACAGTGCAACCTGAACCACTTACACAAGTATGATATATGCATATTAACATTATGTATTGATTGAATGTTCTTGAACTAAAGAATTGAGTGGAATTGAGTCGAGTTGAGTGTCCTCATTGGTGTCGGTGGTGGCCTTCAACCCTTCGAAACCCGCCCACTCTCCATCTCGGTCAGGTCACATCTGGCAGGCCCCGAACTCGCCCACGGTGAACCTGGACGGGTTGAGGTACCGGTGGACCAGGTGGTTTTTAGAGCCTCTTGGACTCTTAGGTATGACAATACCGCCTTGGACATACTGCGGATAGTCAACAATAACAACATCACCACTTGAGACTGAGAAGTCAGGAAATCACGCATTCACTCCTCATTGAGTTCCTTTATCAAATCAGTTCCAATCACGAACCTATACTGATCATCCACTGATCATTCTTTTTGGACGATCTCTTCGGAAAAACAACAACAACGTCGCTTAGTCGCTCTGTCAATCGAAACAGCAGACACCGCCAACCCGGGGGCATCCAACTGCTCCGCAGCGGCTTCCGCAGCGGGTTCCGTGCTCTGAGAGGCCCGGCTCTGCGCGCCATTTAAGGGCACCCAGGGAGTTGGGGTTCCTGAGCGGATGATTGAGTGGATGCTGGTGGTGACCAAACGAGCAGCGAAACTAATAAGATCCAATAAGCCAGGCTTCAAGAATTTCAAGCCATTATATAGATCTATAGATCTATTAGATTCTATTAGCAATCGTGGTGCATGAACTAATTATTGCTGAACCCTGAAGTGAACCCTGAAGAAGTGGGTCCTCGTGTGAAGTCGACTTGGTCCTGGACAACCCAAAATTAAATCTGTCCCGTGACCCGAACCGGTGGGGCACATCCACGCAGCAGCAAGAGGAGTTTACCTGGATAGGCAAAAAATTATGCTTGTCATCCTCACCGCATCTGGGAGAGAGAGATCCACCTGAGATCACTCACACCCTAAGCCGCCGAAAACGTGCAAAAAAAACACATCCATAAACTATAAGCATATTAAATAGTTGGCGTCCAGTCCAGCAATGAGCGTATTCGAGATCCAAACGTCCACATCTTCATATGAGCAGCGGACAAAATTACTTGTGTAGCCAAATACCATTTGACATGATTATCGTTTTTGGTGGGGTCCATATCGTTCTCCAATGTTTCTCCAAACCGCAGTTAGCATAGCATACCGGCACATAGACAAAAACACAAAATATAACTCACAACCTCAGATTAGAGTCTTAGAGGCTTACAGTGCTTTCTGCACAGGAATGGCACAGCACTTGATTTATGCACTTGGGTTCTTGTGGCACTGGGCTGTGCAAGGATCACAACACATAAGCGGGGACCTAGTAGCTCGGCCCATGAACAAACACTAGTCACTAGTAATGTGGAGAAGTAGGTCTACGGAGTGACTGGCGTGACATTTAGGTTATCGTTTGCTTATCGTTTGGATTATCGTTTGGCAAGTTGTCTGGGGTTATCATTGGTGAAAAGTTGTGCCCATCGGTTTAGCTCAAATATGCTCAAATAAACATGCAAATGCAATAACATATTGTAACCGCAAACGTCTTTGTACCCACTACAGTACGTCTTAACAAGATTATCGTTTTTGGTGGGGACCATATCGTTTTCCACAGAAACGAAGCCCTCAACATAGGTTTAGGGTCATGCCGTGACTAAATAAGTCAACCAATCATTTTGTCCGTCGCTCATATGTTTTTCCCTGAGGGCAGAGAGTAGCCGCTGCCTGTAGCACTGCAATCATTGAGGCCTCAAAACCCATGAACCTTCATGAACCCCAAACCCTAAACCACCGGGGTTGGTGGATGATGACAAACACATGGCGCGGGACGCCGGCGTGAACGGTAGCTCTCCGGTGTCTGGCGCGGACAGCTGGGCGCCCAGTCTTGGTGCTCTCTTTGCCCAGGAAAGGCGCTGAGACCACCAAGAGGATGGCACAAATGATCCGCATCACTGCCAGGCCCAGTCGAGCTGCCTGGTGCGAAGAAATGGCCGAAGGTATGGGAATTCAGCTTCTTGGAGTGAAAGCATGGATCAGCACTTGATAGATCCAGATGCACAAGGTATGGGAATTCCAACTCAAAGTTCATCTTGCCTCAAGGTGCATGCCCTCGCCTGAGCCTGCGAGAAACACATGGCGCGTGGACGTGCGTCCACAAAGCATCCATTAGGCGAGGGTTGGCTGGTGTATATAAAGATCTTACAAGATGACTCAGCATGATCGCAAGTGACAAAGGTCATCGACAGTGCCCATGAGACTCAGGAAATGTGTCAAGACAATGCAATAGTATTCACACTTGATATCAAAGCCTTTCCTTGCAACCTTTGGCAGCTCCAAACATTTACTAGGGCTTAGGCCCTGAAACATGACAGTACATAAACTCTCCATGTAAGTTACATACATTTACCCATCATTTGCCCCATATGTGACCCTAATGTAACTACTGAACATATTCCATGCATGGATCGCCTGGGCTAAGTTACCCAGAAAAGCCACAATCATCCACAATCTGTTATGACGTTCTTTCTGTGAAATGCCACAAACCGGTGTCAAGGCCTTGGTGCGTGAGAAGCTCATAAATGGCCACTGGCAGCTCAATGATGACCTTGGGAGAAAGTGCCCGGAAGTCCAACGCCCTTCCTGGGCATCCTCAAATCCATTGAAAACTGTTCAAACACATAGCTACTCCACTTCCAACACTGGAGCTGATGCTCACCAAACAGGCAATCAAGTGCAAAAATTATTAATTAAGCTTCCAAATCAACAATTTAAGTGCAGTATATGATCAGTCAGGTTGGCATCTGCTGGGCATCACCACGAACACATTTTAGGGCCGGCTCTGGAATGAACACACGTCAGGTCTGGTTGGTCTTTAATTGAAAGCACAAATAGCCGAAACAGCAGGGAACTTTGCAGCTCACCAAGTCCATCTTCTTGCCTAGTACATCCTAGTACTTTATCCCAGAAGTGCCTAGATCTGCCAACCAAACGATCTTCCCCCCAAGTCACGTCTCTCGTCCCCCGTCCGTCGCCTCCGTCGTTCGCCTCTTCCCCGCAGACCCGACGTCCCAGACCCCTCGCCGAGGGCAGCGCAGCGGGGCCCAGGAACGCGGCGAAGCCCACGAAGTGCAGAATCACCCAGTTGAGCCTTGACGCACAGGCAGGCGGCAGGCGCTGCGCAGCTTTCGGCGCAGGAGGAGAAGGCCGTTTTGGGGTGAAAGGGGAGGGGAGTTAAAGCCAGGTTACCCAGCTTACATCGTGGTGATGTGACCGGATGTGATCAGCCCCGGCAAGGGGATGTGCTGGTGGAGGCGATGGTGGGCATGGGTCAGCATGGCCCTGGGTTTCGTGAAATTCCTATGGGTTCCATGCCATGATGCCATAAAGAAGCTGCAAATCCACATATATATATATATATATCGTGTGGTAGCACAGTAGGGAGGCATACGCGCATGCAGTTTCCTGATGTTTCCTGTAAACACGTTTGGTGCACAGGATCTTTGTTGAAACTATTTGAAACTTAAATGATCAGATCAGGCTTGGGTATATAATCTGCTGAGCAGATTTGTCAAGAACACCAAGGGATGTCGCAAGATGTCGCAAGGAAACACTAGAAGCGAGATGATCGACGAGCTTCCGAGTAGACCCTCATCCACCTGATCTTCCCTCACAGCATTCCAATCGCTTTGTGGCCAAAACACGGCCTTTTCTTATGAGGCCAGCTAAGCTGGCCTACCATGGTTCTACCCTTGTGCCGAGCTGGGAACCCGCACTGGTAGATCAATTCGATATTGGAGACCTTCTTCCCTTCGCGGATCTCCTGACACCGCGAAATGACGTGCCCTAATTTCTCTGCACGGTCTGGGTTGGTCTGGTGTAAACTTGGGTTGAGCGAACAGGTGAAGCAACAAGAACCTAACTTACTGTAACTATCAAAAGAGTTAAAGAGGCACTACTGCGTCCTTTCCACTCCGTTGCTTGGGGTTTCGCGCTCTATGCTGTTCGTGAGACCGCTCCCATGTGGCATGGCAGTATGGCTTATAGTCTTACAGTGCACACAAAATGATTTAGGACCAAAGCCAATTGAGTCAAATTTTGATGATGGATGGCTCACTTCAGAGATTCCATGTGGCCGCGCTTTTTGCCTTCAAGCGGTCCGTGTGGCCCCAACAAGCCCATCGAACTGTAGCTCTTGGGTCCACTCCACCCGAGCCATTCGTCCGAATTTCAGCGAAGGCAGGGAGACTACGCCGCGTCGCTGTACGGCGGGCGCAGCTCTCGCGCGTCGTGGACAGCTTCCCAGGGAGGCTGCCCCACACGGCGAGGGCGCCGAAAAAGGGAAGGGTGTTAGCCTCTGGATCCTCTTGGCCACAGCAAGGTGACAAAACTCTTGGATACTCTTGGTATGTATAAGATTGTATAAACCACAGGTTGGAGCATCCAAAGGCAAGTGGAGCCCTTCTTTCATGCCTAGTCAAAGCACATGTTCGAAGGCTCAGGGCCCCAAACTTCTATCCCACTGGCCCTTCTCGGGAAATCATCCAAACTGGGCAAAACAGCATCGGGTGACGAGCTGCCTGACTCCAACGTCCGAGCTGCCTCACTATTCTCGTAACTTGGACTCCCGCAACGGGTCGTGGCGGTCATGTTCTCCACTTCTCACTCACCTCAAACCACCATGTCTGAAGTGCAGTCGGTTGCCATGACCTCAGCTGCCAAACAACTCACCGCTGATGGGTTATTTGCAATCCTTGATGCTCCAAGCGATGAACAAAAGACATGTCGCAGCAGTCTGGCTCCGGTGGACCCAAAACGCAGTCTCTGGGCTTCCCACCATGCCATGAGCGTTCTCGTGATTCTGATGTTCGTCCCAGTGACCATCACAATTTTCTGCATGTTGGTGACAAGAGTGCTGACAAAACTGACCAAATACTCACCAGCTACCCGGTACACCATCGCTCGCAGGATAGTAGAAGAATCTTATCATATCTTATCCACTCAAAGGATCTCAAAGGCATCTATGATGTCCAACAGGTCTGTTGAAGGCTTTGATCCTGAGAACCCTCCTCTCTGGTAAAACTCCTCTACATCAAGTCTCAACAGACTGATGAAGTCAGTAGGGACGGGATCTTCGAGGGTTCTTCTACGTGCAGCAAGATCTGCATGTTTTGGGGTGCCACTGCCGAAGGAAAACCCACTCTGGTGGTACGAGCGAGGGCATGACCGAAGGATGTGTGGGAAGAACAAACATCCTACAGGTCTGTAACATCTAAAGTGACCCCCCCAAATAGGAAAATGGTGTTCCTTCAAGCACTTATTCTGGAACATCTTGTCTATCTATTATGTGACCCAAAAAAGTCTCCAGTCACAATGACCAAACTGACCCGGCCAAGCGGCTGATTTGATTTCCAGGTGCACCTTGCCTGCCACGCCTTCTGCCCAAAAGCCCATGGTCCTCATGTCCTCCCGAGAAATATGGGGACGCGGGTGCATTGCTAGGATTAACTTGGCAATGACCGCTACAAGGCAGGAAAGAAAGAAAAACGCATGTTTTCGCTTCAAGGGGGCTAAAGCTTGGATTGAAGCAGCATCCCACATATTAGTCTTGTCATTGCTATTATCGTTGTGATTGAGATGATTCTATTAGCAACATACCTCAATTCTTAAGATGATTACAAATTTCTATGACAGCCGTAGGCTCCAATTTCACGAGTCTGGTATTACAGTCTGTCTAGAGATCCGAACTTAAATGGTTGTCTTCAGAACATTACACGATATACTATACAGCCCCCCAGATGGATTACACATAGAAAAGTAAAATCCGTTAATTAAACTTGGAAACCGTGCCACTGTCTATATATTTGGGGACCACCATGATGTGCCTTCACCATTTACAAACAGCTCACATCGACACCGGCCCTGCTCCTGTAGAGTCTTGACATCAGGGCCTTGGCGATTTCCAAGGCCCACGCAAGTCATCCATGGGAAAGTAACCGTCTCGCAAAAACGGTGGTTTGGATGACTGTTGTTGTTGTTTTGCAAAACTGTTGTTGTATGTTGTTGTTTTAGGATGTTTTTAGCTCCTTGCACAATCAGTAACCTGCTATAGGTTCACTGATTTTTGTGTTTAAATGATGTTTTAGGCCCTGGACCACCAACAGTAACCTGCTAGGCTTGGTGACATTGTTTTCCCGGTACCAAAACAGAAGAACGCCACCAAGCACAAATGCTCGAACTCATCTTAGCACAATCCATCTACGAGTACCAACATAACACCAGCCCAACTTCGATCGGTTTAGATTTCGAGAAAGACTTCCCCCTTGTAGCCTCTTGTCCCTCTACCACTCACCAGTGGTTACCAGGCAACTGCCTTTTAAACGTTGGACCAAGCAAACGGCGATGACTTCTCGCATGGGAACCTGCTCGGGGCTCCATGAAGCAACAAACAAAAGCACGATGGTCACCAACTTCCAACTACAGGTGCTGAAAGGATGCAATCCAAAGAGGGAACCACCACTGGCGCCTCTACAGTGACCACTGTACTAGTATCTCATCCTGGTCCTTGGACCTTCGGATGGTCATGCGGGCAGTAGAAAAACAAACAATAGAAAACAACATCGGCTGAGAGTAGCAGCACCACACGAAGATATTAGACATGAAGTAGTACCATGCAGTATCAAAGCTTCCCCCCCAACAACCAAACCAAACCTCACTGAAACAGCCAAGTGTCAGTAGATCTTGTTCTCCTGGCAGGTCTTGATCGCTTCCCCAGTGGCATCGTCCCAGTAATCGGTGAAGCCCGACAAGGGCAAGGTCACCGTGGTCCTCGAAGCCACCGGCCGTGCAGTGGTTCCAAAACCAACCGAAGAGAGCACTCTGCACATGTGAGAGCCTGGTGGGATCATGCACCAGGCTTAGGCATGGCACCCAGAAAGCTACCTAAACACCGAACAGATCTGAACATGGTCGACCTCGACAACAACATGACTTGGGATTGATCCCCGAACTCGTCGAGTGCCGCGTCTTGACGCGTCTTGATAGAGACCAAGGGTCCACTGGCCAGGAGCGCCAGCGTTGAAGTTGGACTTGTAGCCTCCGGTGTTGGTGGGACAGTCGGAGGCAAATGAGACAGCCGTGCTGGCCGTGCTTTTTACTAGAGCGGGATGAATGATGACACCTGTCCCCCCAAACAAGAGCTTTGCTTTCCCGTGAATTTGAGTTGCCCTCATCCAAAACCTTTTTTTTACAGGTCCGTGGCCATGTTAATTTAAAAAAAAAAAACATATGTCACAAGCAACTCCTCAAACTTGAACACCACACAACAATCCAATCCAATACCGGTAGAACTTCAACACCCCCCTCGCCCGTAAATTTCATATAGTATCACACACATCCTTGTTCAGGCTAAGAACCTTGCCAGCCTTACAAGTTGGGCAGGTGGCTCAAGCCCGCTGTGTGGACGGGACGTCATGACGTCCCTCAGTAGCTAGAACCTGCTAGAACGACTTCCATTACATGTTCAAGGAGCACTTTTCGATCTACGTAGGGTATAGGATATAGGCTGGTTTTGGGCCATGTTCTTGCATATTCTTGCCCATAACCTCAATGAACTCGAAGAACTTCTGCACCAAGCTGCCATAGGCGAAGAACTTGCCGCCGGGCGCATGGGCGTTGCCGATGGAGAAGCGGTAGCCCTTGTAGTCACTGTCAGACTTCACCTGGACAGAGGGGGAGCGCTATGGAGCGACCGCTATGCACTGAAGGGCATGGCCTTCGAAAGCCCGAAACGATCCAACTACAGGGTTGTGGAGATACGCCAACAACCCAAACTTGGATTTTGGTTGTGGCTCCACGCTTCACAAGGGGTTCACAATGGTGTGCAACAACCTTTGGGTAATACCAAGAAACCGATGAACATCATTGGAGGATCCGGTGCCTTCGTGGATACCGGTGCCTTCATGTGCCGTTGACCGGTGCCTCTTCATCTCACCTTTCAGCCCCCCGCACCGACGTCCGAGCCCCGAGCCCCGAGCCTCGAGCTTGATGCTCTTGCAGGCGGAGATGTCCGGGAAGATTCGTGTGAAGGGCTTCCTGAGTTGGGGAAGCTGGGCGGAGTAGAGAGGCCTACCATCCATGGTCAAAGCTCTCCCGGAGTAAAGAGGTGCATCAGCTTGTATAACTACACCTGCCTTCTTAGCCTCCAAGATTCTTTCTGCTTCCCGAGCAAAGGAGGTATATAAGAAGACAGTAAGGCGATGCTAGACCTTGCCAAGCGCTTCATGTCCCACAGGCCCTTCACTGCGAAGTAGTAGGTACAAAGGGATTTGGTGTATGGACATGTTGGAGCCTTGACAAAGAAACATGGCACAGGGCACGGTCACGGTCTCTGCATGTAGGGGGATTTACATGATTGCCAGGTAGCTCAAACAGGGGGCCAACATAGCATTCCGAGGAGACACCGCACATGCCACTGGTAATTCAGCGATTTGAACGACAAACAAGACCTCACAACAAAGGGCCCTTGCTCAGGGCAGCTGATTCTGATACTAGTTGCTAGGACTCCGGGTGCATCGTTTCTACACCAATTTGGGATAACTATACATTGTACTGGTTGGGTTCCAAGACAATCAACGGAATTCTATTCTACGCTTCAACCCTCCCATATTTCCTGCTGTGAGTTCCGTCCGGCTGTGAGAGTTTCTACCTTCTGATCTTCTCATTCGATGCGAGGATCATATCCACCACGGAGGTTTTGATGAAGCCTGGAGCCTTCAGGAAAGGCACGTCCACGACCTCCCCGTCGAAAATGCCCACATTGTTCCTGGAGAGCAATGGAGCTGCTGGTGGAAAGCTTGAGCAGTGTTTTCCTTACGCGCCCAGCTCTTATAACAAGACCCTTACTCATTGCAAGCAAGTGGGTTTATGGCATGGCTCAATGTGGGAGAACTTGTGCATCACTACCGGTGACTGCTAGAGTCATCCTGTAGCTTCTCTGTTTCGTTGACTTTGACCCATGGTTTTCTGAGGTTGCTTGGGATGATGCATTCAATTCTATGCAAAGAAGTACTAATACTGCATGATAATTCAACACAAAATGAAACAAGTATCCAAACACTGCTCATGTAAAGAAGTGGAGGACCCTGGTAGTGCGTGTGGGATCCTAAAACCATTACAAAACACTACCACCAAACACAAAAAACGCCCGAAACCTCCCAAGCTCCACGAGACACACATACTTAAAAAGCGCTGGTCCGAGCGACGCCACACTGAAGGTGCCGGTCGACTTGCCACCCATCACCTTTGTGAACTCAGGAGATGTCAGGAGGCTCAGGGGGAAAGGGTCACCGGGTCGGTGTGGCGTCAGCTTCACTCGATGTGGCGTCGGCTGGAGGGAGCAAAAGGCACCAGTGAGGATGAATGATGAATGAATCATCCCAGGTAAGGGTTGAAGAAACATATGACAAGTGATACCTCTGCTTTCCACCAGCTCAGTGGTGGTCAACATGTGCCAATCCCAAACCGGTATGTTGCTTCAAAGGACCTACGGAACAGAACAACAATAAACAATTGTATCTGATGCAAGATCTTCTCAACTTCATACAATTATATAATAATGGCTTTAGTATGTTCTTGTTTAAAGATGTTTTACGATGTTTTTATAGTAACTCATTTGTCAGAATGGCATCCCTGCTTGGGATCCCCAACACAGCAGCAGTGAAGGTTGATGAGCTGCCCTACGGTGCCCTACCAGAACATTTGGACTGCCGGGTGGGTTCGTTCTTCAACTCCAACACAACTGGCCTATTCTGAATACAAAGCACTCAGCACTTTTCTTAACTCTGCACTCTCAATCGGGGCACTGGGTCGTTCATCTGCTTCCACTGGTGGCTAGCTTTTCCATCGAAGGATGCCAGCAGAATGTCTGCCGCAGCCGCTGCCCCGCGAGCAGCAAGAGCGATGGCCACAACGACGAAGCGAGCCATGAAAGGTGACGAGATGACAAGGCGCGATGAGGCGCGGGAGCTCGGCTGAGCACAACGTCAGCTCAAATGGACGGAAAGTGTATGATTATCCAGGAGCTAGCCATCAAGTGTCACGAGTGGTCTTCAGCACTGCTCAAAAAATGGAAGGTGTTAATGAATGCTTCAAGGCTTTTTTAAACAAATCCAGCAGGCTTCCACCTACTGTGACAGGTCTAGGGGCAGGGAAGCACAAGCATGATAGCCAATGTCTGGCAGCACTGCATGTACCCCAGCACCGGGACTGCAACTCCTTGTTTCCAGCACCAGCTCCACTGACCACCGGCCTTAGCTGCTGATTGGTGTGCTTGGACGCCTGCACAGTACAGTCTGAAACCCTAGTGGCCCTAGCGAAACGGGATTCACAGGAAGCACCTCGAAGTACATCCCCAGCAAATTGGGCAGTCCAACCGGTCCCAGGACTTCTTCCCATCAACCAAAAGTCTTACAGTAATGCCTGGAGTATCAGAACACACATCGAGAAGTTTGGTTGAAAGCTGAGCATGCTGCTACAGTATATCTCTAGCAAGCTGTTGGGATCCAAGAAAAATGATTGGATGAACAGTGAATGCACTGAAGAACCTGAGGATCTGGGTTTGGCTCATGAGCTAAAGTTGGAGTTTTACATGAAATAGTCTACGTAGAGTAGCCAAAACAGCTCTGGAATTCTATGCCCCCGTGCGTCTGAAGCACCATCAGCAGACCGAAGGGAGTCATCATGCCGCGCAGGGTGTGGAAGAGGTAGCCCCACCTGTGCACAAATAGACACGAACTAAATCAAGCAGGCCAGCAACTGGCTTATTCTGGTTTGTGCCCTCTTTCCAAGCATGTGATGGCACCCAACCTTCGCCCAATAGACACACTCCCCGGAATCATCATGGTTATGTGGATGGCATGGCGCCTTGGATGACCATGTTTCTCTAGCATTAGGTGGTCTTCCACTTCCATGATGATGCCACTGAGGGTACCTATGACCCTGTGGATCCCGGCTTAAGCCTGCACATTCCTTCACTGAAACGGTTCTTGTGATGTGAGCCATCCCCCCAAATAAGTATATTCTAAAATAAGTCATTTCCCAAGAAGAGATGAACTGATGAAACAAATCTTCCGGGCACACAGGATTCATCCAGAATCACTGAGTCCCTGGACCATCTTCCAATCACTATAGGGGCATGTATTGGAAGAGGGCGAAGCTCCAAACTCTGACTTTCAGTGGATGGTTACCCTTTCCAAACCAATCTCTACACGGGTGGGTCAGGGGTGGGGTTTTCCAAGCTCAACCGATACCCACACACCGCACACCGGCTTCGGCTTCCCTTTGCCGCACCAATCCGGTCGGGGGCCAGGAATGCAGCAATCCGGTCGGTGTTCCTTACGCACCGAGCACCCCCACATCGAATTGCCACCGCAGCGCATCATGATGCCACCTGACATTGTCATCCACTGGCATGGTCCATGGTAGCTTGATAGCTTCAGTCATGCGTGTCAAGGAAAATCATCACAACAATCCAAGATCGTGACCAAAGCCGCGTTCCCCAAAGAGGACCAACGTATTCTTGCCAACTTGCCTAGGAAAGAATGACCTGAGAAACACACACACACACAAAACTGGGAAAATGACTTCTAGGTCTGAGCCTACGCCACTTCTGTGCCCTGCGATGCCCTGCTAACTGCACTGCCCTACCACTTCTCAGCCCAACCCGCAGGGCAATGACAGGCCACCACGCCACAGACCGCGCGAGCGGACAAACGCCGGTGCACCTACAGCCATGGCGACGGCGCTGGGCTGCACCATAGCCTTCACCATCTGTCCCTCTGAGGTCGCCTGAACACATGAGCGCGAGAGAAGCGGACAAAAGGGCGAGTCAGGTGCGCAAATGTCTGAGTCTTGGGAGGTTGGCTGAACGTTTCATGTGCTCAGCCTGGCGGTGCTATTTCCAAGGTCTTTAATTAGGTGCACAAACAGCTGGCGAAAAGAGACCAGGAAATGAAGAAAGGCACCCAGTCTCCAAGCGAAGCTTCATTGACCTGTTCGCCTCTCACCGGAAGAAAGCCTTCCCCCATAGTCCCTGTCCAAGGGACACGTCCCCACTAGCGTCCCCGTCCAGTGTCGAGCCTCATCGCCGAAGGTCTGAGAGATGGTCTCAGGATGTGTCTTCATGAAGGCCTCAGAGTCGTCGTCATCGCTGCGACGACGTCGACATCGACGTCGACTCACGATCAACGCCAGGATCAACGGTTTGACGTCTCGCAGGTGTTTTCCTGGGCTGCATGGGAAATAGCAGCAAGCCTGCACTGAAGTTGCTTTTTCTTGGACTCTCTATTGAATCGAATTACATCGGTTGACGCCGTTTTGGGGATGAAAATCATGTTCCGACGACGCATCCTGCCCTCCAACCTACTGCCCTGATGGCAGGCCCTGCAGAACTCCTGAAGAACTGGTAACTGGGTTCAAAAAAGTTATGATGTTTCAACTAGAGGATCCTAGCAACTAGGGCTTTGGGTCATGAAAGTATGAACCGAAAGCGTTTTGAAGGACGCTCTGCCCAAGCAAAAAGGGTTGCGGCAACAAGCTACCCGTGCAACATCCCTCACTGTTTCATGGGCAGAATTGTGTAAAATCGAAAGTCTATATCACACCTGCAGAGATAGCCAAACGCCACACAACTGAACAAGCACCCACTGGCAATGAACAAACATCCTCTCCTGTCAAAAGCTTACAGGTATACATTATATACAACTATCTATCGGTATACATGCACACCTTGAAGTAATCATGGAAGCGGAGTTCACCACCTGTTTGGTCTTCGGATTTCGTCATCCTTTTCAGGGTGCCGTCCACATAACCATGATAGGGAGTGTAGAGAATCTGGTGATTCACCACATGGAATTCCTCACCGGCAGATGCTCCATGGGACTGCCGTATAATATGCCGATCAATTGGGGTGGTGTGAGGGGTCAATTGATTGGCATATATGGCAGTCCCATGGGTCGTGTATGGGTACTGACAGCAACGTCCCAAACACACACGACTCGCTTCGAGGTCAACGCGCACTCGTCCACCATCGAGTCGTCCTGAGTTCTTTGGTTCGTCCACTGAGGCCGTCCACGGAGAAGTCCGCTTTGCCCGTCTGAATGTACTGCTCCTCTGCCGGCCATAGGCCACTCTCTAAAAGCCCAGCGAGGTACATGGGTTTACCGTAGTTGAGCAAATTCACACGGCCAGTGTACTTGGGAACTGAGGCACACTCAGTGGCAATCCATACAAAACATCATGTCATGTACTTTGGTTCGATATACCGTACCCAATAGATTCGATCTCACTGCTCTCCACTCCCCTCTCTCCATGTCTAGTCCCCGATCTGGCTTGGCTCGGCCAAAGGTCCTATGAAGTGAACTAGCTTACGCCGTGCTGGGTAGGAGTGGGGACTGCGACCTGCAGCCTTTTCATGCGTTTTTGGGTACCCAGTTGCATCCCCATGTCTGTAATGCTCTATAAAGCGATTCATAGTATTCTATCATGGTTTCTCCATGTTGAAACCTCTTGGCATCGCAAAGGGTGACTGCCATGCCCCAAGTAGTACATGCGTTGTTGTTCAAGCCACAAATGCAAACGGATCTGCAGCAGTTTGGGAGGTGACCGTCTCTCTCAGGGCTGCTTTTACGCCATTCACTTGCCATTGGCCCCCACTGAAAGACATCCAAACAACCGACGATTCCCCAACGGACGGTCGTCAGATGTCGTTGAACAAGCGACTCAATCGAAGCACTCAAAAGCTTCTCCTTGAAAGCTTTGAAGTATGAATGTCGATTGGCGGGCGAAGAGTACCACACCTGCCGAGCCGATTGGGGATTGGCTGCGCCGTCCGGTTTGGTTGCCACACTCACCCGAAGGTGTTGAAGAAGTGGGTCATGGTGTCATATGGTTGGGAAATGCAATAACCCAGACACTCCATGTATGGAATATATGCCTACATTGGGGTGGTTTGGGGAGTCAATGTAGGCATATATGGCAGTCCCATGGAGCGTCTGGGTAATTATATAATCTTATATCAGCGAAGCAAGTATAGCGAAGTCAGTAGGAGTTCTAGATCGCCCCTCAGAATCCACGCCTGAACCGGGGGAAGGGGTTTGGACGACTGGGTTTGCTTCGGACACGACACCCGGAGGTGAAGGTGAAGGTCGTCGCCGAGATCTGATGGACCGAACGAAGCCGAGAGCCGCGTGTGCCGCGTGTGCATCGTTTCGGTGTGCTTCGTTCCGCTTTATTTCGATAGATAGATAGATAGATTGGATAGATTCGATAGATAGGTAGATAGATTAGATAGATAGACAGATAGATAGAGAGATAGAGATATAGATAGAGATAGATAGAGAGATAGATAGAGAGAGAGAGAGAGATAGAGAGAGACAGATGGATAGATAGATAGATAGATAGATAGATAGATAGATAAGATAAGATAAGATAAGATAAGATAAGATAAGAAAAGATAAGATTAGATTAGATTAGATTAGATTAGATTAGATAGATTAGATAGATAGATTAGATAGATTAGATAGATTAGATAGATTGGATAGATTCGATCGATAGGGAGATAGATAGAGATAGATAGATAGATAGATAGATAGATAGAGAGAGAGATAGATAGATACATAGATAGATAGATAGATAGATAGATAGATAGATAGACAGATAGACAGACAAATATAGATATAAATATAAATAGATAGATAAATAAATAGATAGATAGATAGATACTCTTGATAAATGGATACTCCTCCCCAAACATGGACTGAGAAGACCCAAGGGGTGGAAGACGAGGGGGGGAATCGCCCCAAACTCCTCCGACCTCAATCGACTTCACAAAGGCTTGATGGCACAAGCGCGCGCCGATGTAGGTCATCAGCGCGCCCACCTGTCATCCGCGATGAGGAGACCCCGTTGCACAAGCGCTCCGGTGGATGGTACAAACGCGCCAAGTGCCTGGAAAACGGATGTTTATTTGGGGGGGGGAGGTTATGCAGAC